GGAGGAGGAGCAATTTCAGCTGCTCCCGAGGTGGCTGGGGGCACCTTAAGGCCAAGGGTGATGGACAAAGTGCTACGGGATGGAGCAGCTGCAGGGGGTGCTGCCGCAGCACCAGCTGGAGGGTCCGGGGGAGCGGGCTCCTTGAAGGGTACAGCTGACAACGGAGGCCGAGAAGGTGAGTGGGCTGTGTCTCGTGACACACCTGTGCCGGCAGCAAGTGCTGCCTCGGGGAGGTTTTTGCTGGCTGGCCTGGGCTCAGGGTCACAGGCTGCTCTTGCGGCCTGGCTGAGAGTAGAAGAGGGTTTTCCAGGCGGATCCACCCCTGGCCCAAGGCCACAACTCGAGCTCAGAGATGCCCGGGCATTCTGGCTTGCCGGGGCTGTCAAGGGGCCGATGCTCACTATGGCTGGTTGGGTGGCTGTTGGGGTCTCTGTGCTGGGGCAGTTGCCTGGAGTTCTGGGCTGCAGGGAGGGAGCCGGCTGTAGCTGTGCTCTAGCAACACCGCAGGGAGCCGCCTGCTCTGTTGTCGGAGACACCGCTGGGGCCTGGGAGCCTGGGCCGGAGGGCAAAGGCCTTCTTGGACCTGCCCCACTTCCAGTGCCTGCCAGGCCCGGTGTGTCTGCCTGGGTCGCAGCTCCATGGGGCTCCCCTGATGCTGTGCCGCCCCTCTCCTCTCCCTTGCCCCCTCCTCCTGGGCCCGGACCTGGGATGGTTCCCACAATGGAGGCAGCAGTAGCAGCCATGGAGGCTGCTGCTTCGGCAGCAGCTGCTGCCCGCCGGGCCCTGGCCAGCTGGGCTCTGGCCTTGATGTCCGCCAGGGTCCTGGCCCCCGTCCTCCTGGGACTGGTGATGGTGCAAGGGAAGCCGGGCCCGGGAGAGACCTGGCTGGCAGGAAATGGCAATGGGGATCCATGGATCCTGGAGACAGGGATCTGGAGGAAAAACAAAGAAGCACATCAGTGGTCAGGCGGGGAAAGCTGCTGTACTCGCTTCTGTTTTGGCCCTCTGCTGAGCTCAAGAACGAACAGGCTGCCTCTGTAGCTGGGACTTGCAGGAAGCCACCCCCACCCCCATTAGAAGCCAAGCCAGCTTCTAGATAGTGAGCTCTAAGCAGCACTAGCTATCTTGCACCAAACTAGGTTCCTTCAGGACTGCTTCCATACTTTTCTCTCCTGGCATCTTAAAACTACACATAGGAAAGAGGGAAATGACACCTGACATGGTCATGTTCAGGTGGCCACAGGGGCCTGCATGGCTCTCTTGCATCTTTCTTGTCCCCCCCCCCCCAGACTCCACAGGAGGCGTGACCACATGCTCAGCCTCACACAGAGCTGAAAGACAAGGCACACACATCTTTTCTCCTTTCCCTGCCTGTGCCTATAGAAAACAGGTGGCAAAGTCACACCTCCAGCAGCCCTGGAGGCAAAGGGCACTTCCCTATTCCCCATAGTTGGGATTTTTAAACTGGAGCATGAATTTGGGAGTAAGCCCATGAGGAGCATGTGCTCCACCACTGACCTATGGATTTCCCAACCAAAAAGTTAAGCCAGACCGCTGCATACAACAGAGACATCCCCCAACAGCTCCCCATTCTTCCATGCGCAGGATGTGCACCATTATCCCTACATGTTCTGAGAGAAGATGCCTGTTTCTGATAGCAAGAGTCCAATATAAGGACTAGCATATCTCTCCTGCTTTATATAAGCTCAGACCAGTGGTTGATCTAGCCCAGTGTTGGCAAATGAGTATCATCCAGAGCTTTTCATGGTTTCAGAAGCCTTGCTTTGCCCCGCTTTTAAACCGAGGAAGAAAATCTGAGGTCTCATTATTTATTTAAAACATTTATTAGCCACCTTTCTACCTCCAGGAACTCAAGGCAGCTTACAATAGAAATGGTAATAATATTAAACACAATAAAACACCTAAAACCACTAATTAAAAATCAATTGTTTATAACTGCGAACAGGCAGAAGACCTAAAATGAACCAAATGCCATTCATCTTCAGGTGCCTCCTAAAGGCTGAGAGTGGGGTGGCCAGGAGAGGTTGTCCCATAGTTGTGCTTTCTCACGTACCCACCAGACAAGCTTCTCTGGTGCTATTAGGGCCTGGCCAGGAAGTATCATACAAAAAGCCTCTGCCACTGGGGTCGGAACTTGCCCACCCTGACATTCTTCCACCCTCACTCTGTGAGGGGCAAGCATCCTTCTCACCCCATAAAAGAAGGAAAGCAGCAGATGCTGGGACAGGAACAGGGCACCTGTCAACCAGCAAGCATCACAGGTACTTGTACACAGCCTTAATCCAAAGGGTTTTTTTACCCTGAGTGGAGGGACCTTTGGCACGGGCGCTGCTGGAAAGGGCTGCGGCGGGCTTTGAAAAGGTGGGCTGGAGCGGCTGTTCTCCACAACATGGGGCCGTTTTTCCGGTGTAGTCGACTCCTCTTCGGGGCTCTCTGATTTCCTCTTGAGACCTTGGACTCCGACGTCCATCTGTTCTGTGCCAGTGACAGAGGCTTCCTTGGCAGGTATCTCCTGAGACTCCTCTCCTGGATTGGCTTCACTGCCTGCTGCCACTGGGCTCTTTGGTTTGCTTGACTGTTCTTTCGCTGGGGACTCCAAGCTGCCAACATGCGGCACCTCCCTTCCTGGCTCTTCAATCCCTCTGGGAGGCCCGTAGGGAGTTTGGTCACTGGATCTGGAGGGGAGACTGCTATCTGAGGAGCTGACAAACTCTGCTGGCTTGGGGGTTTGGAGCTGCTGCTCTTCCTCTCTGCTTGCGGCTGCTGTTGCTGCTGCTGGTGGTGGTGGTGGTGATACCAAAAGATCCTGTGCCTTTGGATCCACAGGAGGGGCTGCCTCTTTGCTTGATACAGCTACAGAGATGGGCAAGCACTGCTGCAGCTGAACTGCTGAATTCCTAGCCTGTGCCTGAGTAGTGGGGATGTAGGATGTCAGCTGCTGGGATTCTTCAGGGCTCAGCCCAGAACTAGATGGAGAAGAGAGACACACTAGTTAAAACTCAGGGCACCAGCTGACTTCACCATGGCCACTCACATCGGAGCTGCTACAACGCCTGACCCTCAGAAGCACAAAGGCAGGTGTGAGTGTCTATGTATTTTGGTGGTCTCTCTTTGCTAGATGTGTGGGAGGAAGAGACCAGTTTTCCAAGTTCATTCATGAGAAGGGTGATCATTATGTTTTGCCATCAGAATCTACAACACCTCAAAATTAATAGTAAAAAAAATTTCATTCCGTCCCAAAGCCAAACTGAGAGAAATAAAAATCTGTACCACCTTTTGAGAGAGCATATGGTGGCAGAGAGGGCAGCTGCCTGGTACAGGAAAAACTCTCCCAGCTCAACAACACCCCAGCTTTATAGAGCCTTGGTGGGCTTCTCACGGTTCAGCGGTGAGGATATAATTCAGCAATGAGAAATGCTTCCACCTCCTCCCTGATAACCTAACAGGAAGTCCTACCTAAGTACTAGTGGAAGGGGGCCTCTTGGCAAATTCTAAGGAAACTGAAAGACAGACTGGCATGTCCAATTTGTACAAAGGAGGGAAACTGGACCTTGGCTTATCCAGGGGGCAGAGGTTCCTCAGCAGATTCTCTGACCTCTGCCTATTGGTCCTCCTCTGCCACTTTCCCCAACAGCTTGTAGTTGCTGCTGAAGCTCCGGTCCCAGCCACCAATTCTCTTTATGAGAGCCAGTGTCACGTTGTGTGATTTGAACTTGGAAATTTCCACCTCCTCTCAGCCACGGGCTCAACAGGTGGCCTTTGACAAACCAACCTCAGCCCCCCACCTGTGACATGGGGATAGGAATACTGGCCTCCCTTCCAGACCTTACTGAAAGGATTAATAGAAGTAACGTGCCCCAAAGCGCTCTGAGTGCTTACCAAAGGCACTGCATACAAAGTATTATTATTATTATCATGAACACTGAAGTGTAACTCAACATGGCAGCTGGGACAGAAGCTTCATCCGGTGCAAGAGATGGGCAAAGGCCCTCCTGGGGAGCATGCAGGAAAGTGGCCTTGCTCAGCCCATACTTTGTGCTTGTCAAATCTGGCTTCTGCAGCAAGGACTTCTGCAGTGTTGATTTCAGGGTGGCAGTCTCTTTTCACATTAGAGACAAATACTAGGTCAAGGATCCAGGATGAGAGACTGCCTGCTTAGTAATCTCATTGCACAACCCCTCCAGGTACTGAGGAAACATTAAAAAAAGATGCTTCACTTTTTAGTGCTGGGTACAGAAGCTAAGCAGGGTTGGCCCCGGCTAGTATTTGGATGGGAGGCCTCCAAGGAATTCCAGGGCCACTATGCAGAGGCAGGCAATGGCAAACCACCTCTGAACGTCTCTTACCTTGAAAACCCTACTGAGTCGCCATAAGTCAGCTGTGACTTGAGGGCACGTTTCACTATCAAACCACTGTAGCCCAACAGAACCACGGAGAGTCTTTAAAGGGGTTAGAAGCATAGAGCCAACCCTCTTCCACTTGTGAGCCTCCTGAGAAATGGGCATTACAAGGGAAGAAAAAGGCATCTTTGGAGAGAGAGAAGATAAGGCGAGGCAGCCAAAGCCCTCACCTCTGTCCATAGTAGCTCTCAAAGAAGCGCTCCTTCCACAGTTCCACTTTCTTCTCCTTCTCTAATTCCTGCCGAAGTCTCAGCTGCATTTCAGGAGTGAACTCCCCTGCCACGCACAAAGGGGGGGGGAGTGAAGTTCAAGCAGGAAAGATGGTTCTTATCAAAATCTGGAATCCCCAGCTTGCTGAAAACTCCCCCCCCCTGCTGCTCTGGGATTTCCTGATGCCGAAGGATCTTCTGCTCAGTCAAATGCACAGTCATAACTGTCCCAAGTCTCTTTCACTTCCCAGGGGGATATTCTGCCCCAACATCACACCAGTAGAAACGGTGTTTTTGCTTTGCTAGCCTCCTGTACCCCTCACCCTGCCCCACCCTCGCAACCAATTTCTCCATACAAACGGAAAATATTCTCAATACTTTGGAATTGTCCCTCTCCCAAGTCCAGAGCCCCGCCTCCTTCATGGAGGCCTCACCTTCCGACAGTCGTTCTTTCCACCCTTGGGCAGCAGAAGTGAAGAACTCGTTGTTGAGGGCAGAACTGCTGAGCTTCAACAGCCCATCTACCCCGATCTGAAAGAGCAGGAAAACGAAACGAAAAGAATACATTGTGATTTCCCCCCCACATTGACCTTACAGCAGGAGAGAGAGCAAGTCAGACAGTCTTTTGACCTGGGGAGAAAAGAGTCTCAAGGTAATTGACCCAAGGGACTCAAGTGCCTGTTTCCTTGGCTTTGGCAGGAAGCTCTTCTCACTCTCACACACTCTGGAACTTCCTCCCAGACAGGCCCATTTGCACAGAGCTTTTGGGAAGTAGGAAGAACTGCATACTGTAGTCATAACTTCATACACAGCACAGAGAAGGAATTAGGCTCCCAACAGAGTTATTGGACAAGCTTCTGAGGGCAGCAGCTGTTCTCTTCTTATATCTAAAGGGCCCTTTAACAAATTAGAGGGGAGGTGGAGACAGACTGGGCAGTGGCTGAGCTGCAAAACTTTCCCCAAGTGCCCCCTTCAAATTTGTGGTTTTTTCCTGCAAAGAAGGCTTTGCCAGTTCACAACGAGAATGAAAGAGAAGCCAGGCAGGCATGTGACCTGAACCCCTCATTATCCTTACAAAAAAAATCAAGAAAGCCACAGGAGAAACGGGTTTCACTTTTTTTGACATGATTCTGAATTAGTTCAGAGGCCACAGGGCTCTTCAGCTCCTTCTGTTGCTCTGCAACAAAGAGAAGGGCGGGTGGGGAAGGAACAGGGAAAATCTCTACACAAATTGCAGCTTCCCCCAAACCACTTATCTATTGGACAGAAGCAGATCTTCTCCAAGTCCTTTTCAAGCTGTTTGGCCACAAGAGCCTCTCAGCAAATAATATTCCCGGATCCTTGTGCACCAGCATTGCTCCTTAGTCCTTTGACTGGCTCTCCCCCTCCTGCCCTGGAGACGCACCTGCCTGTCCACTTCAGGGAGCAGGAGGAGCAGCCGCTGCTGACAGTCAGCTGGCAGAAGAGAGAATGTGAGCTTGTTGATCAGGGCCCGCAGGTTGGTGTTCACCAGGATGGAATCTGGGGTCTCCACATCAATTTCGGCACATTTTGTCCTCTTCAGCTGCCCTGAGGGGAGAGGCACAGAAGGACCATCCGTCAGCATCAGCGAAGACAGTAAAGCTGAAAAGAACGCACCTCAGGATGGGTGGCTCCTGGAGGAAGCCCCACCCCCACCCCACCCCCGGTAAAACCAGGAGAGCAGGACCCAACAGCCTACTTTAAGGCCTCAGCTTGGAAGCAACTCTTATGCATCATCTAGAAACTAGCTCTGTGCCCGGGCTGGATGACCTGCTACAACCTCTCTAGGCAGCTTCCTCCTCTGCCAAGCTGCTCGCAAAGGCAGGAGACAAAATCTACCGTCCTGCCCTCCTGATGTCCTGCACTCAGTGGCTGCCTGCAGCAGGCGCCAGCCTTCACCGTCATTAGTCTAGGCCAGACATACAGTGTCCTTTCATCCTTTCCTCTGCCTTATATCTACTGAGCACATTTTATCCCCATCCGTCCTCCAAGAAGCTCAGAGGAGTGTACTTAATTCTCTTCTCCTTTTTATCCTCACAACAACCCAGTGAGGTAGGCTAGGCTGAGGGGGAATGACCGGCCCCCAGGTCAACCAGTGAGATTTAGTGGCCAAGTGAGTACTTGAACCTGGGTCTTTTAGATCCTAGTCTTACACTCTAACCACTCTGCATGACATTGACTCTTCCTTAGGCAACGTACTGCACTGGGAAACAGTTGCTTAAGGACAGTACATTTTCCATAAGGCCTTCCTGTTGCTGCTCTGAGGACTTTCCCTCAACGGAAAAGTGAACAGTTTTATTTCCCACGCCCTCAGTAATTTAAGTGTGCCTAGGGGAGAAGGGAACGCTTCTAAAAGGAAAGAGGAAGAACCATTTTCCCAAACCAACAATCCTAGATGAGGGTAGTCTCAAAAAGGTGTTCAAAAGCTATTTACTGAAGCACTCCAAGAAAGCGGCTCATGCCTGGAGCTTTGAGTATATTTCAACTGTTCATGGACGGCAACTGGGGGGAAAATTTCAAGAACACACAACAGACATTGTGTCACAGTATTTACAATCCTACAGACATATGTAAAAATATTCTCTCATAGCTATAAATGCAAGAATGCCCGATGAAGCTAATGCAGAAAAGATACAAAGAAGCAGAGACTCTCAAGGGATCAAAAGAAGTCAGCATCCAGCTGAGGAATCCAAGCCATGAAAAAGTTGTTCTCCAATAAACATGCTACAAGTGCCAAGTAAGGCTAAGAGTTGCCAAGATGAAGGAAGCCGTGATCAATGTTCCCTCTAAGCTGTGGAGTCTCGTGAGCAATTATTCTGCTTTATGAGCTACTGGCATTAAAGCTGTGAGCAAGCAATTTGGCTACTGCATAAATTAGTTGGCTCTGGAGCCATCCTCCCTGAGCTAAGACAAAAATGTGTGAGCCAGAGGCTAAAAAACTGTGAGCTAGCTCACATTAACTCAGTTTAGAGGGAACACTGGCCGTGATCCCAGGGGAGAAAGATACAGACATTTTGCCTCCTCTGTTTTATGCCACCGAGTGAGAGAGAGAGAATCAGGCCAGTCTGAAAGGACTCCATTCGTACACCGAGGAGCCTTCTTTGCTCCACCCCTGCTCCCAGTCTTATCACTGGCCTTCAACAGGACAACGTTGTGATGGAAACTGTTGTCTTACTTGCATGGAGTCGCTCAGATCTCTGGAATGGCTTCTTCCCCAGGACTGGGAGGGAGGGCTCGGCTTTAATGGAGGGAGATGAACTAGAAGTCGAATTCTGGGAGCTACTTGAGTGTCCATCAGATTGTTTTCCTTCCCAGGCTGAAAAGCAAAAGAGAAAGAGAGTCCGACTTGATCAGCACCCGTAACCAAAGACTAACAAAATGCATCCTCAAGTTTCTAGTCACTATCATTTCCAGTTCAGGATGCAAGTCAGTCTAAAACGAATTACAGGAACAACAAATTTGGGTGTAGATAAGGGGAGGCACAGACAAAAAACCTCTGTGGCTTAGTGCCAAATCTTAATTGTTTCTGGAAAACGTTATGTTTCAATATGATATCCACTTGGAACACTAGTAATGGAATGGGAAGGCAGAGTCACAACAAACATGGAGGGATAACGGAGAGCTGTGACGTATCTTCTTGAGGCATCTCTGGATGCCCAACTTTGCTCACTAAGCAAAGTGCTGTTGGCCCCTCCCCATGGCTCAAGGCGACAATAAAGTCCCAGTACCACCCCTCTCCAGCACGGTAAAGCACAAGTGAACCAGACTGTAACTGGCAGATGCCACTTGTGGTGCTTTTCAGATAGCACCTGCTTTTCAGATAGCAAGGCTGGGTCCTAGAGTTGCCACGTCTCCCACTATGGTGGGAGATCTCCTGAACAACAGCCCTAAATGTTCACTGCCACTTGGGAGAATGGCATGGGAAATGGGGGAGGGAGGACGAGGACAGGTGTCACCAAAATGGTGCAAAACCATTTTCGATGTGAACCTGGAAGTGCTTCACCGCAGTGTTCTAGAATTCCCCCAAAACTCTATGATAAAACCATAGGGACCCAGGGGAATTCTGGCGTGTTGCACTGATATGATGACATCACTTCTGGGTTTGCACCAGAAGTGCTGTTGCAGCATCACAGCAATGCCTCTTTGCATATGCCTATCTCCCTGAACCTCTCACCAGCAGGGTCCATGAATGAGTTTTTAACCTGCTCTGCAAATGCCAATTGTACTCCACCCACCAACAGTGGATCCAGACCTTCCTATGGAGGTGAAATGCAATGTTAATTATGTCCATACCCCTGCTCATCACTACTGACCCATATTTTTGCAATCCTTGTTGCAGTACTGCAGGTGTGAAGTTTTTGACTGGTCTGAAGGGAAAGATCCAAATTGTTCTTGGCTCCAAGTGCGCTGCCTCAGTAGACACACTAGCCCAAGAGCTGGGGTCTGTGCTGTATTTATTTGTTTTTCCTTCTTTGTCTAAATTACATTTTTCCATTTTTTGTAAACTGCTTTGAGTCAACAGGGTGCAGCCTACCTAAGGGACCGCCTTTCCCCGCATGTTCCCCCAAGGGCACTACGGTCAGGGACCCAAAATCTTCTGGATATTCCAGGCCCTAAGAACATCAAACTCGCTGTGACCAGGGCCAGGGCATTTTCGGTGGCGGCTCCTACCTAGTGGAATGAGCTCCCAGAAGAGATATGGGCCCTGCGGGACCTTGGGCTTCAGCAGGGCCTGTCAAATGGAGCTATTCTGCCAGGCTTTCAAGTAGGAGCCGCCGCCACCATTATTCCACCAATGCTTTTCCATCACCGCACCACACGATGCGGATATTATCAGGGGGGTGCGAGACGTACCTGGCGGATGATAGGGTTGTTGGGGACATACGGTCGTTGTATTATTATAACATCTGTAGAACACCATCTTGATTTTAGGAATTGGAGTGAGCAGTGGAGCAACGATATTTTATTAATTGTATTATGTTGTATATTGTATTGTATTTTTATACTGTTCTTATTGTTTTTATTAGGCACTTGTGCCCCTGTTAGCCGCCCTGAGCCTCTGGGGAGGGCGGGATACAAATTTGAAGAATAAATAAATAATAAATAAAACAGTGACAAGAAAAATGGGGTATAAACATCCAAACAAACAAAGCTTAAGCCTAGAACACATTTAATTGAGGAGGGGGGACACATGTCTCTTGAAGTGTTCCCCACGTAGGGACAATTGTGGTTAATGTTATATCAGCAGTAGCTGTTTGTGCAAATATTCTTGGAAGAGTTCATGAGCAGGATTGTTTCTACTTATGGACAGGAAAAAAATCAACATGAATGAAAAAATCCAGCTTCATGGTTTCCAGGAGTATATGCTTCAGTAGGAACCATTTGCTAAGTACCTGTGTGGAGGAAAAATGCCTTCAGTGGAACCACTTAATAAACAAGCACTTCAGAATCACAGCTGTGGATGGAACTAATACATCTCTCACTAGATAATGAGGCCTCCTCTCCCTCGATATTTTCCTCCACATTTTCCATTTGAAGATACAACCCTACTCTCTATTCCTATAGAAGTGCTTCTGGGTAAACCAAAGCCTTTGCTTCTACTAGAGAAACATATTATCTTTAAAAATGGGGGGTGGGGGAATTCAATGCAGTTTTGTCTACAGTGCAGAGGAAAGCCATTTGCACTGGCTGAAGAGGAAGAACTGAAGTACATTTTTGCAGGACTACTCTTCCCTGATAAAGCCAAGGGCCCAGTCATAAAAACATAAGAGTAGCCATGCTGGATCAGGCCAATGGCCCATCCAGTCCAACACTCTGTGTCACACAGTGGCCAAAACCCAGGTGCCATCAGGAGGTCCACCAGCCAGGCCAGAACTCCAGAAGGCCTCCCACTGTCCCCTCAAGCACTGTTAAGTACTGTTTGGATTAAACAAGCAAGTGGCCTGCCATCCCACAGGATCATGCTGTTGCTTCGTACCAGGTTTTGCAGGAACAGAATGGCTGACAGCCTTTGTATGCTGCTGCAGGAGGAGGTGGTTGGAGGAGACTGGCAAGCTGGCTCGGCATTGCTGCTGCTTCCGCTGCTTCTGCTTCAGAGCCTAGGGAGGAGGAGGAGCAGGAGATGGACACAGAAGTGAGCCAGCCATTCCCCCACTACCACCAGGCAAGGAGGTGGCACCAACCACAGCAGGGTAACCTTTGAAATGCCCATACTTAATAAGCTGCTTAAAAGTGTATGATGAAACTCTGTCTCAGCAGCATGCAAAATGTTTTGTGTGATTATGCATCACATCATTGCCTCAAGCCAGATGGGGCTTCACATTTGGTTCACGGTCAAGCTGAAGATGAGGTCAAGTTTCACTTACTCACTATTAATGTTTAATCAGATAGAAGAACGGCCAGCAGATTAGGCAGCAGATTTCCAAGAAATTTCTCAAGAAGTCTGTGGACACGGTACGATCTCTCCCTCTCTTTCTGCCACCCACACAAACTATCTGATTTAGCACTTTTATAACAAATCCAAACATGAAATTCCGCACACTTGATTCTTTTGAAGGGAACCAAGTATTTGGTGAGATGCTCATCTTTTTCTTGACAGAACTGAAGTAATCTGTATTATTGCATCGATTAATAAATAGTACGTAACTGGATTATGTGGGGTTATTTAACATTGTATTAAAATGGTTTAACTTTCCCCCTTTTGCCATATTCCAACAGGTTTGATGCAAAGAAAGGGTTTCTCAACTGCTTCCAGTTCCAAAGGACATCATGTAGCACTAGACCCAGAAACAGCTGTGAATCATATTACAAAGATGACTTGCGTAACCATTTAGAGAAGGATAAGCAGGAAAAAGGAGAAGAAGGGCTGTGGGTGAGAATGGTAATACAGGAAAGAAATAAACATTCTTTGAACAGGGAGACAAGATTAGAGTACCTCTTGCACACAAATCATGTACAGCAAAAGAAGCGAGAAAGCAATCTGGATGAGAACTACCATTAAAAAGAGGATTTTGTTTTGTTTTCCAAGATGGAAAATCCAGCATTAAAGCTGTTAAGTTAGGACTAAGGCAAACCTCTGGGAACTCCTTTCTCTAGAACTCTGGATTCAGATACAGTTACCTTGATCATAGGGCAATAACAGAAATGGGACTGGGAAAGCAAATGGAGAAGGCCTACGAGAGGCAGGAGCTGTTGAAGAAATGGCTAGAATGAGGAATGCCTTCTCCTCTGGCAATAAGAGGTTCCACTTACCTGCTTGAGTGCTTTTTTGCTGTGCTTCTGAGACGATGAGATGACTTTACCTGGTGGAATAGAAGGAGATGTACAGCCTGGCTGCGGAGAGGACACTTGTGAGAGTCTGGTCGACACTGCAAAACAGAAACAAAAACAATACAGGAAAAATCAGGAGACCCATCAGCAATGCTCCCTCTAAACTGTGGAGTCTTGTGAGCAAAAATTCCACTTTGTGAGTTACTGGCATTAAAGTTGTGAGTGAGCAGTTTGGCTATGGCAGATATTAGTTTGCTCTGGTGCCATCCTTCCTGAGCCAAGACAAAAATGTGTGAGCTGGAGGCTAAAAAACTGTGAGCTAGCTCACACTAACTCAGCTTATAGGGAACACTGCCCATCAGGGATAAAGTCATCCCTTGCACATGGCTGAAAAGCCAGGAACCTAGAATGGCAATGCTTGGGCCTAGGAACTGAAATTCTTTCTAGCCTTACCCTTCCCACAGAAAACACTACATCATCTCTCTTCTCCCTTCACATCGGCTCATGAAAACATGTCTCTATTCATTATTATGTTCTGAGAGAATCCACCTGAAGACAGGCAGTACATGACCTTAAAAAGCATCATGCAAACATTGCCCTCTGACCACAAGAACACTCTGAAACAAAGGCAGTGCAGTCTGGAGTTTAATGCCAACAAAAAATTGCAAGGTTTATCTGTCTTCAGAGGCAATGTAGTTCATCCCACACAATCCACATTTTGTTGCTGAAGCCCATTTTGAGCACTGATTGGATGTTCCATGGGATAGAGGTGGTCTGTGATCTGGAAGATCAGATCGCATCTCTGGTCATGGGTTTGTTATCCCTCCGCCTTGATGCCCCGTCTGCCAAGCAGTCTCTCTCACAACACCTTTATGTTAGGTGGAACACCAGAGAAATTAAGAGTGCTATGGAGAAGAAATCAGAGTGCTAAAAGAAACTGGACTCAGCATCTTTTTTATCAGCTTTATCCACCACTCATACCTCACCTTAAGAACCTATTCAAAACCTCTACCACCACCTCAGACAGTTTAGAGGAAAAGAAGAGAGTCTGGGGAACAAGTGTCATCAATATGTAACACCAAACCACTGGAAGCCTCTCTCAGGAGTGTCATGACATGTCGGTGTTATGCAGTTTGAAAGAGAAGCTCTGTAGAACTTTGTAGCAAACGTCATAGGGCAAAACAAAAATACATCAACACCACCTCAGTGACCTGAAGTTTCTAGTTCAAATCTCACCTCTGCCATGAAGTCAAGAGGTAGTCTTAGACAAGTCGTTGCATAGAAGACTCAGCCCCCCTCTCCTCAAATTTGCAATACAGGTTGAAATGTGAAGATCCGGGGGGGGGGGGGGGGGACACACAAAAGTTTCTCCCCAGACTTTTCACTCAATGTTTTGCCAATGGAAAAGACCTATGAAAATATCTTCTCCTTCGGAACGGGTGAAATGCTGTTTAAGGGGGTCACTCTAAAATGCTATGAGCTACCTGGCATGAAGGTGGTAATGCAAGATCTACAGAATTAGACAGTGAGTTTCTCATATACTGTGGACAACATATACTGCGTTAGGTCTTCTCTCTCTCTCTCTTATATCTTCACTTCAGAGGCAAGGGAGACAGCTCTACTTCTGAATTTCAGCTTCAAGGACCTGGAAAGCTGCTGAATGGTCCGTCCCCCTCCCCTGGCAAAACATATTCAACATTTCTTTGGCTTTCAGAACCTTGCAGGCACTTGGGACACTGCCCACAGCATTATCTCCTATCTTCCCACATCTTCCTTTACAGTGTGGCAGCCAAATCTCAGCACTGGAATGCCAGCAGAGACTGGGTGCCTAATGGAGTCCTCTGGCTGCCTGGGTCTTGGAAAAAAGCACTGCTGCTGCTTCATCCAGCAACTTTGTCCAACCCCCTGCTTCTCCCCTTTCCTCGAACACCCTTGTCTCTCCTTGCGTTCTTGCCACCTGCTATCCAGTTTCCCCCTGCTAAAACTTAATTTCTCACCATGCTCCCCTACTGGATATTTCCATGCCTGCCCACCACAGAGGACCACAGCATCTGCATACTATGCAAAAGACGGAGGTCCTGTGCTTGAGTCGGGTCGGTCCAGGGTTGGGGATCCCTCTCCTGACCTTCGATGAGGCGCCTCTGCTGCCAGCGTCGAAGGTTAGGAGTTTGGGAGTGCTCCTGGATCCCTCCTTAACCATGGAGGCCCAGGTGGCAGCCACTGCCAAATCAACCTTTTACCATCTTAGGCTGGTGCGGCAGTTGGCTCCCTTCCTCGACCGTGATGACCTGGCTACAGTGATCCATGCGACAGTCACCTTGAGGCTAAACTACTAAAATGCTCTCTAAATGGGGCTGCCTTTGTCGCAGATCCGGAAGCTGCAGTTGGTGCAGAATGCGGTGGCCCGGCTGTTGATGGGCCTCTCCAAGTGGGAGCACATTCAGCCTGGGCTGAAAGCACTGCACTGGCTGCCAATAGCATACCGGATCCATTTCAAAGTGCTGGTGCTTACCTTTAAAGCCCTATATGGCCAGGGTCCGACATACCTGAGGGACCGCCTTTCCCCATACATACCCTCAAGAGCACGTCGGTCGGGGACTCAACATCGCCTGGTGATTCCAGGCCCCCGGGAGGCAAAGCTTGCCGCAACAAGGGCCAGATCCTTTTCAGTGGTGGCTCCTATCTGGTGGAATGAGCTCCCAGAGGAGATCAGGACCCTGCGGGACTTCATACAGTTCCGCAGGGCCTGCAAGACGGAGCTCTTCCGCCAGGCTTTTATGTAGGAGCCACTACTACCACCACCAACGGCGTGGGTAACAACTGGGTAAGAGGACAGCCCTTGAAGATCTGCCATGATACCGCGCTGGGTGGGTACCACTGGACTGGCCACGTACCAGCTACAGGACACTATCGACCTCCAATGAAAGATCCAGCATTTACCATTGGAAAACCATCTTGTTCTTTATTGAGCACCTTACTTTTGTGATTCGATTATTTTATTCTGTTTTAATCTTGTTTTATATGTGGGCATTGTTGCCCTCTTGTAAGCTGCCCTGAGCTCGCTCGCAGGGAGGGCGGGGTAAAAATACTAATAAATAAATAAATAAAATGAAAGACTCTGTTACCAATAAGGGATAACCTTAAGGGCTGCTTCTTTTCTTTTGGCAGGAACTTGAGAGACGTGATTTAAGTTACCAACAAACGGAAGAGGAATAGCAGCAACATTCAGTTTGGAGATGCATTTGAGATCCATTATGAGCTCCAGATCATCTACCCTGGGGCAACTATAAAAGAATCTATGAAACACATTAGCTTAATAAGCACCTGGAGCCCCCCCCCCCAAAAAAAATCAATACCATATGGACAACCTCCCTGGGCAAAGATGCATCATGCACACTTGCTGCATGTGATGAAGCAAGACTGGCTTCACAAATGCTTATGTTAGGATAAACTGTTGGTAGTTTTTGATTTGCCATGGAACTACATAATGTAAGACTCTACAAGCTGCAGATGTCGAGCTTTTCTATTATACCCTGAAATATCATTTTTTTCTCCCCTCACTTCCCTGGCACCTCCACTTATATACTGAATAGCCAGACTGATGAAGAGTTCTGGAGAACTCAAAAGCTTGCTGCTCACGGTATCATGATATTTTGGATAGTTCTACTCAAATATTACCAATTACCCAGCCTAGTGATTAATAAGAATGATAAACAGCATTAATGTAAAGGCTGATTTGTTATGGAATTTCAGGAAGCTCTTTATCCAAGTCTGGCATAGCCATGTTAGTAAATCTCACAGTTGCTGCTAGCAATCACACATTTTTCTTATGAGGCTTTGCAAATTGATTACTCATAGCAACCATGGAACACAAGGAAGGGGTGTGGCTCTAGGAATAAAATGGCAGTAATCTGCCTCTTGAGAGTCACTGACCTAGACGCAGCCCAGGATACTTTGGTATCTTAGGCAAAGAAACTAAATAATACCGACTCTATTATGGGACACAATCCACCACAGACCAACAAGATTTTCAGGGTATAAGCTTTCGAGAGTCAAAGCTCCCGTGGTTAGACTCTCATAATCTTATACCCCCCAAATCTTGTTGGTCTGTGGTGGATACCAGGAAAAACGTTTTGATAGAAAGACTTGTGCAACAGAGGAATCAGCTGCCTAGGGCGGTGGTGAGCTCCCCCTCCCTGGCAGTCCTTAAGCAGGGGATGGGCAAACACTTGTCAGGTAGGCTCTAGGCCAGCAGTTCTCAGTCTGCTCTCATGGAAGTCGCGACCCCTTTGGGGGTCGAACAACCCTTTCACAGAGGTCGCCTAAGACCATAGGAAAACACAAATTTTCGATGGTCTCATGACAGCAACGAAAATAATTTTATGGTTGGGGGTCACCACAACATGAGGAACTGTATTAAAGGGTCGCGGCATTAGGAAGGTTGAGAACCACTGCTCTAGGCTGATCCTGCATTGAGCAGGGGGTTGTACTCGGTGGCCTGCATGGCCCCTTCCAACTCCGTGATTCTGTTATTCTTGTTGGTCTCTAAAGTGCTGCTGGGCTCAAATCCAGCTGTTCTACTGCAGACCAACATGGCTGTCCTCTGAAACAATCCACCAGGAAATCCAAAAAGCCTCTGGCAGATTAAGCATGTAGTGCGGCATATTTGAATCGACTCAATTCAGAATCCAGGGATTGGATGCACCTTTCCCACCACAGAGAATCTGCACCTGTCTTTCAGTGCTTACCTTACGCAGAAAAGAAACTGCATGCTACATATACACCAAAATTATGACACAACATAAGTGCATAACCAGTCACAAACTAGTATATACACACACTGATTTGTAATTTGATGCACTATTTGATTTCAATTTATTTGCAGTGCTCAGAATCCTATCCATACAAAACCCAACCTCCTTGGCTCTTCTGCGAACACAGAGGACTCAAGGGCCGCAGCATTGCATCAGGTAGATGATGGTGGGCTCATCTCAAGAGTTTGCGCCTGTTTCCACAGCACTATGGGCACTGGAAAGTCTGTGAGCCTCAGAGACAGTAGGAGACTCTCCCTGATCTAAAATCAAGGAAAGCAGCTGAA